AAATGATTGTTTGCTAGATAAACATGTTCAACAACAGGTGTACTGTATTTGCTTGCATTGATGGTCAGAAAAACACCCAGCTTCTCTCATTAAAGTTAATTGGCAGCAGAGAAGATTTCTTGGGGAGGCTCTATTAGCACGGATAAATAATTGCAGAAGAATAAAGGATGATGCAGCTATTGGGTTTCATTCTTTAAACAGTGTCAGGAGCTTAGCTAACAGGTTGGAGAGTGCACTTAGGCATGGATCCAAAAAGTCAAGATCTGGGTTAATTCGGTAATTGCTAGTTTAAGGAGCAAGCAATCAATGAAGGTCAGTATTGCTAGACAGGAACACAACAGAAGTCCAAACTGTGTGAAAGTAGGGGTGGGAAGACCTGTCCATTTCAATTATCTCAGTTCCTCAATATTTCAAGCCTAAAATTCAGTTCTCCACATTTCAGCACAATTTGTGGGGTTGTTGTTGCTGCTGCTGCTACTGTTGTTTTATATTTTCATGAAAATTCTTCAGCATTTCAATATTAATTTATCCTGATAAACACATTTTAGTTTGCAGTTTTGCCTAATGTACACACTTTTGCAAGCAATTTCTCCTAATACGAATTTCGCAAATTATTTTCATGAATATATTCATTTTTTTAAATTTTTTTATATAAATTTTTATTGGATTTTCATAAACAAAACCAGAAATGTAGACATATAAAAGAAAGAAAAAAGCGGAAAAAACAAAAACAAATCAACCTTCCATATCATTTTCACAAATCCAACTGGACCTCCCCACATCTCCCGAACCCTGCGTCCTTTACAATAAAGATATCAGCAAATTGTTACCTTATTTCATACCTTACTGTATCTTTCAAATATTATGTTTCTAAATTCAAGATACTATTTCTCAGTTACTTGTACCTTAAGATAAGCATAATAAAGTTATTTTAAATTTCCATCTTATCTTATTTGTAACATAATTTCCAGTTCACCAAATCTAATTGCTGAAGCTAAAGTTTCCAAATCGTGCACATTCTTAACATTCATACAGTTTATAGTGTTTTTGCAAATAGTCCTTAAATTTTTTCCAGTCCTCTTCCATTCTTTCTTCTCCCAAATCTCGGATTCTGCCAGTCATTTCAGCCAGTTCCATATAATCCATCAATTGCGTCTGCCACTCTTCCAGTGTGGGAAGATCTTGTATCTTCCAGTATTTTGCAATGAGTATTCTTGCTGCTGTAGTTGCATACATGAAAAAGGTTCTGTCCTTCTTTAACACCTTTTGGTCAACAATGCCCAGGAGGAAGGCCTCTGGTTTCTTAGGGAAGGTGTACTTAAACACCTTTTTTAACTCATTGTAGATCATTTCCCAGAAGGCCTTCACTTTTGGATAAGTCCACCAAAGGTGAAAGAATGTCCCTTCAGCCCCCTTACATTTCCAACATTTATTATCAGACAGGTGATATATCTTTGCAAGCCTGACTGGGGTCATGTACCACCTATATATCATTTTCATAATGTTTTCCTTCAAGGCATGACATGCCGTGAATTTCATTCCGGTGGTCCATAACCTTTCCCAGTCCTCAAACATAATGTTATGCCCAATATCCTGCGCCCATTTTATCATGGCTGACTTGACAGTTTCATCTTGAGTGTTCCATTTAAGCAGCAAGTTATACATTCTCGAAAGTACCTTGGTTTTTGGTTCAAGCAATTCTGTCTCTAATTTCGATTTTTCCACCTGGAACCCTACTTTTTTATCCAGTCATGAATATATTCATTTTTTATGCACACGTTTCTACCTAATTTAAGTCTGGTCTACAAGGTGCATCAGAATCTGGTCTGGTCTACAGGTACTGTAATCCAGAGCTGGTAGCATGGAGTGTACCACTTCAGGCTGCATGTGGGGGATTCCATTTTTGAATGTTCCCCCATGTGCAACAAACTGCCTGTTACAAGTTTTTTAAAAAATCAGCAAAACAGAGAGAGGTTCAAGCCCAGCCTATTTGCATCTCTGCTAGTTTTATAATTGCAGGGAGCTTTTTCTGTAAGGGAGCATTTGGTAATGTGACTACCTCCTCTCTGAAGTGACATATCTTACTGCCTCAGAATGCTACTACCCTGGTCATTTTGCTTTGCTCAGTACAGACCAGTCCAGAATAACCTGTCAGGTAGCTGAGGAGTATGTTTAGAAAATCTAGTCAGGCCCAGTAGTTTATGATTTTCTGCCTGCAACTCAGCCAGCAAAAAATGGTTCTTTCCGTTTTTACTAAAGTCAGATGCCTTCTGCTTTCCTGCTACAGACGGCATTAGAAGGCAGACGTGTTCTTTCTTGTGGAACCTCAAGAGCCGTTGATAAGTGGGTTTTGCTTGACACACTTTTCATTCCCAGCAAGCCAAAAGGAAAGTCTGCTTTTTAAAAGAAAGGGGAAGGCAGACACAAAACGTTAAGCTCGTGATCAGCACAAACCTCAAAGTCAATATGCATTCTGATGGAGAGTAAAATTACTGAATACTCCCAAATCTTAAAAGGGGGGCTGTTTTGTGTCTTATTTTAAGTTATTGGTATCTGTAACCTTGGAGACCAAATTCTTCAAATTTACCCACCTTTGGGATAATTTTTGCCAGGGGTTTCAAATGGATGCAACATGACTAGCACAAAAGTAGCTTTTCACCACAACCCTTTTTCTACTTCCCCAGGAACCTCTGTGAGATTTGCCTCTGAATAAATGGGCATAGAATTGTGCAGCTTGTGGGGAAAACATCAGGAATTCACAAATGTTTAATTATTATGGGTTCAATACAGACTAAATTAGTAGCACTTAGTTGCCTTTGAAATCAGAGAGACTTAAAGTGCAATTAACTGACTTTACATCCAACCCAACATATATATTTTTAAGGAAAACCAAAAAGTAATAATCAATAAAGCAGATGTTAAAGTGGATAGTGTGTGGAAATGAAAGTTAATTCATCTGGTGTTATTTTTTAAGGAACAGGGTATGCAGTGGTCATAAAAAAGTCAAAGGATGGACATTTTCAAAGAGTGGTCATGTCTTATACACACACCTTTGCCAATAAACAGGTTTGGTAGGATTTGTATTGCTTTGGAAACATTTCAAATCTATTTAACCAGGGGCAACAGCAGATGGATGGAAGGAAGGAAGGAAGGAAGGAAGGAAGGAAGGCTCTATCAAATCTTAACTTTCAACTCGCTTGTCACAGAAAATGTGCTATGCGCTGTGCTATATATAGCCGTAACATGATTATAATTCCAAAACTTTCTAGTGCAGCAGTTTGACTGAATTCTCCATAGGTGAAGTAGGGATGTATTCCTTTGGTTCATGTCCTTAATTACATAAGAAAGTAAAGCAAATTATAACATGCATGATCTTTTATTTGCAGCTATTGCTTTGCCCACCTACATGAACACGTGGTTGCATTTTTTATGCTGTACTTTCAAAAGTACTCAAAGGATGTTTGTTTGCCTCTCCTCTGCCCATCTCTGGGCTACTTGGAAATGTTTGGGTTGCAGTGCCCCTTGTAGGACCATTGCTGGTGATAGTTTAAAGAAGTGCTTTTTCCCTTTTTTTAGAAAAAAAGTTTAGGGGTACTCTCATTTTCCTACTCATATTGAAATGCTGCCCCTCAATGAGTCCAAACTTAGATTCACAAAATGTTTAGGGGTATGCGTGCCCCTGCGTCCCCCCCCAGAAAAAAAAGCACTGGTTTAAAGCCATCTCATCTCATTTCAATTGGCTTAAGGCAACAGTTTTAAGAGCAGCAGCTTCAAATACTTGTAGGAGAAACCAAGCCAGCCAATTGGCAGAATTTAGAACATAAAACTGAAACAGATGTTGCTGCCAAAGTTCTTGATCTAAATTAGAATTAAGGTCGCCATCAGAAGACATTGTGAGACAGGTCAATCAACCAAGTATGACTGAGGACTTGCTTGCATGCTGCCTGTTTTATATGTCAGTGACGGATGTTGCATCTAGTAGCTCATTAGGTATCTCAGCCCAGGACGAAGGGGCCACTTTCCCATGATTTCCCTGTTAGCTCCGTTTACTCCATCTTGACTGTCAAATATGTCTTGGCCTACCAGTAATTGCTGCTTTCGAATGATCTATGGCTTCCTGCATCTCGCAAGCCTGGAGCTTGTTAAAGCTGTTAAGCAGGGAATCATAGGGTTGCAACGTACAGAAAAGGTGATCTAGTCCATGGTTAAGAACATCTATACGCTACACAGGCACACCAATATCAATCAATCTATGCCAAGGCAAACAACAATGTACCCCAACAGACTACATTTGCAGTAAAAGAACTACTTATGAAGCACATACATGTTCATGGGGTACACGCACTAAGTGTGCATGCTGGGGCAGGGAGAGCCATTAGATCTGTTAGGAAGCTGTCTTACACTGAGTCATAGAATTGTAGAGTTGGAAGGGACTTTGGGGATCAGTCCAACCCTCTGCAATGCAGAATTATGGGTCTTCCTAGCTCAGTGGCACCAGACAAGGAATCTTTTTCCTGGAGATGCTGTAGTGAATCTGGGACCTTCTACATGCAAAGCTCTACTACCAAGATGAGGGCCTTCTGGCTGTTGAGGAGGGGGAGGACAGAATTACTTCTGCTGGCACAAATATACCTTTACAAGCATTGTGAGTAAGAAGGACTGTGTTAATTTTCATGATGGATTTATAATTTATATGGAAGCCTGTGAGAAACAACAGCTGCACCCACATTGCCACTAGCCTTCCGGGTTTCATTAAATATTTTTGAAACGTTTACCAAAATTTAAAATGGAAAAAATGAGGAGCAGTTCTCTTTTTAAGGGAAATTTCTGTCTTCCACTTTCTCTGTGGCACCGATGGAACATTTTATGTTCAATACTCCATTAACCAAACCGAGCAACAAATAGCTTTATTGGAAGTGGGAAGTGACGGGTTGCATTTCAAATTAAACTAAGAAGAAATCTGCCATGCTATTGTTTCCTCCTCTTGTTTACAATTGCAGAATGAAGAAGGCCTCCCGCAGGAAGGAATGATGGGTAACACAGACATGCCAGCAGACCCAGAAAACGAGGCCTACGAAATGCCTCCTGAGGTAAAATCTTTCTTTGATGGGTTCTCACAGAGTATACTATTAATGGGCACCTCGTGATAGACGTCCTGGTCATTTATGCTTGAAGTGTTGGGAGAAATTTAGAAACTAGTTTGTCAATAAACATGTACTGCACTCACAGAAGAAACCTGTGGGCACCCCACATGCTGCCACCCATGGAGAAGCGGTGCTGGCAGTGGCACCAGTTTTGGCAACATCTTGCCAGATCTCACTGAAATCTCGCACGATCTCATGAATTTTTTTGAGATCTCGCTGGAAACCGGTGTGGCTTCTCCATCAATAGTGGAGTAGATGGGTGTTAGGATGCTGTCAGCGGCTCCCATCTGGTTGCCCAGGAAAGTATGAAGACAATGAAAAGTTTACTAAAGTTCTTTTTTATTTCAGTCATTTCAGAGAGAGGCTATAGAACCTAGCCTCTTGGATAATGGCATTGTCCCAAGTGAATATCCACACACTCCATCTCTCCCACTTCCTCATTCGTCATTCTCATCACCTCCTCTATGGGTGCTGCTATGTTCCCTCTGTCTCTGAGCTCTTTGCTCTCCTACTTTTAAGGCTCGCCGGGTTCTGGGAGATGGAGGGTCTAGAATGCTTTCTAATGACAACATGTCAGCTGGGTGTTGCTCTGCCTCTCCCATGATTTCCCGACTTCCCCCCTCATCTACCTCTGAGCTATGACCTCCCTCAAACCCCTGTTGTAAATCTATACTGTCTTCTTCCTCCTCCCTGGAAGGGTCAGGATGGGAAGGTGGTCTACACCTCCTCTGCCCAGTCCCTTACAGTGGGGTGACCACAGCCATGCTCCTTCTTCAGTTTCCACCACCTGAGGCAGTGGATTCATCGCACCTCATGGGTGGGCAGGCCCTGCCCCCACTGCCCTGCCCCTTTCCACAAGACCACACTACTTACTGCTCCAGCATGGAATAAAAACATACATACATACATACATACATACATACATACATACATAATCCCATGCACATTTATCTAGGTGTAAACCCCACTGAACAAAGAGATACTTAGTTCAGAGTAACCTAAGGTTACGCTGTTAAACTGCAAACCCCCACAATAGAAGGAAAATAACATGTAATAATGATGGAAACTTTTTAAAGAAAACAATGCCCCCTCAGTACTCCCGGGTGGTGTGAAAACACTTACTTAGGATGAAAACCATTTTTATGCTCCTCATACCAACAGAACCCAAAAGCATTAGCAGAAAAATAATGGAAAGAGAGGGAGAAAGCCTGCCAAAGATAAATTCTTCACTCAAAAGCACATTTTTTTATTTGCATTCATATTAAAAAAAGGGAGGGGAGCCACCTTCCTTGTGATTTATCTTATAATACCAGTAAATTCAGTGTAAGGGCTTTAATTTCAGATCCAAAACCAGTACCAAAGAAAACACAAACATGATTCATATTATTATTCAGTGTGAAAAGACACACACAGGCTGCTTCCTCGGGCAGACCATTTCTCAAAAGCTTTTTTAGAATTGTAGATTTTTGTTCTCCCTGCAAAACACTTTCCCCTCTAATAGCTTGCGTTCTTCAGTCAAGTTCCTACCGATGTATACCTACTTAAATTTAAATACAAAATTCTAGCCTTTAATGGACTGTGAATGTCACTGCGTTACAGAATTCTCTAAAGAACTGTCTCCATTAAGACGGTGTATTTGCCATCATGCAAAGTAGTTCCCATAAGATTTTCCCACTCTGTGCATTAAAGTGATGCAGAAGAACATGACATGATGCTTCTCCTTTCAAAGGGAAGAGGCTGCTATTGCATACGCTCCAACATTCTGCCGATAATGGGACAGGGGCTTCTGCCTCTTTCCTAAAGGCCAGGAAGCTTCTGACCAGCTTAGGGAAGGAGATGTGATGCTTAGGGAAACATTCTAACCCATACATCCCTAGTGAGCAACAAGGTGAAACTAAGTACCACCTTAGTGTGAACTAGCACATCATATTGGGACGCGGGTGGCACTGTGGGTTAAACCACAGAGCCTAGGACTTGCTGATCGGAAGGTCGGCGGTTCAAATCCCCGGAACAGGGTGAGGTCCTGTTGCTTGGTCCCAGCTCCCACCAAGCTAGCAGTTCGAAAGCACGTCAAAGTACAAGTAGATAAATAGGTACCACTCTGGCGGGAAGGTAAACGGCGTTTCCGTGTGCTACTCTGGTTCACCAGAAGTGGCTTAGTCCATGCTGGCCACATGACCCGGAAGCTGTACTCCGGCTCCCTTGGCCAATAAAGCGAGATGAGCGCCACAAACCCAGAGTCGGCTACGACTGGACCTAATGGTCCGGGGTCCCTTTACCTTTACCTTTAGCACATCATATATTGAGATGTTTTCTCTCTCTTCTTCTTCCTCCTCTTCCTTGTTCAATGTTGATGTTGCTGTTTCCAACAGGAAGAATACCAGGATTATGAACCCGAGGCTTGAATTCAACTCTCTTCCTTCTGTTAGCTGCTGGCAAAGACATCCTGTCCTGTACAAGTGCTGAGTTCCAATGTGCCCAGTCGTGAACTACTTTTTATAGTTTGTACAGTGTCTTTTGAAGTCTTCCATCAGCAATGATTGGAGCATCTGTAACTGCGTCCAATTTTCATTTCAGCGACCAACCTCCCTCTGAAACGAAGGTCTGGGTCTCAGAGCCATTGTTGTTGTCTGGATATTGTGGCTTCAAGTTCTAAAAAGTCCGAAAGCAGTTTTTTAAAATAAAATTAAAAAACACCTAAGTGTCTACTCCTTATTTCTAATGCTGTACATGTTTTGTTGACAGGTTGTCGGTAACTTGGTATTGTTTCTGACACGAGGTTTTTTTAACTATTACCTATGATCTTTCTTTTTCTGTCAAAGGATAACATTATTGTGAAAGTTGTTAATATATTTCTATACATATATACATATATATAAAGTAATTGAGCATGAACTATGCACCTATAAATATTTACTGTGGGATCTTACTCGTTTTGTGAAACGTTTTACTAACTTGTATTTGTAAATAACGGTGTCCGACTGGAATAAATAAAATGTTATCTGTTCAAAATTGGTGTTAAATAATTAGCTCCCCCTTTTTCACAATAAATTCTCATGCTGGGGTTGTGTCATATACTAAATGACAGCAAATACATGTTTTCAGCTCCCTGAAAAGAACCAGCGATGGACACTGTACCCTGTCTTGCCTTGGGGGGGGGGAATCAAAACTCGGGGAGATTGCTGGAATCCCTATCAGTCCCTCCTCTTCCAAGCAAACTGATCCTTGTGACAAAGGTGGGTGTACGAAATTAATCCTGAGGCTAGGGTTGCCAATGTGGAATTGTGGCCCTTAAGGATTTACCTCGACATCAGCAAAGCCTCTGAGCCCCACTGCCTTGCCTCTTCCCCTCTCCTGCTCAGTAAACAGCGACTCAATTTTCGGGAGGTCAAGTGAGTGCCACTGCCCAACCATGCCATCCACAGGGAAACTTTGCTAAACCCCTCTCATTTCACTGCCTGCAAAAGGGCAGTGAAACAGGGGCCATTTCAGGTGTCTTTAGTATTGTTGGCATCTGTCTGTCTCAAGAGGCAATGGAGTGTACCTCCAGGGGTGAAGTCAAACTGCTGCATCAGCGACACCGAAGTTACCTCCCCGGGCACAAGCCTGTATGGGGATCCTGGGCTGCCCAGATGTCAGGATGATGTGGTCCAAAGGAAAACAGAGCAATGCCTTTGGCACCAGCTTGGTTACAGGAGGGAGGCATAGAAGGTGCCGTCCAACCATCTTAAGGACTCCACTCTGGATTTGTGTAAGGTTTACTCCTTAGCCTTTTCTTCTCCCAAAGATATCCCACAAGGCAGCAGAGGTTTAGGATCAGTTTTCCTCTTCCTACCTTCCCAGTTGATGCCCCTCACTTCCCTCTACAGCATGTGGAAAAGCCACCTTCCATGACCAGATGACTTGTCTGCATGCTTTGTCTGCTGTCCAGCTGTTAAACGTGGATGAACAATTTTCAGGCACCTCCTGCTCTCTCTTCTTAGTTTTGTTTAGCTTTAAACTGGACTTGGACTTCAGCTACTGGAGGGTGCCTTCAGAACAGAGGACTTTGCTCTATAAAGTAGGATCTTGGTTTTCACGCTTGGTAACAGGAGACATCTCCTTAGGCATGCACCACACACACACACACACACACACACACACACACACTTAATGTATTTTTCATAGATGTGCATGAAGATGTCTTAATTATTTATCACATTGTGTCAAGTTGCCATCATACGGTGCTTCTGAACCACTGTCCTTGGAAAATATTAAGCGCATAAATTCATCTGGAAAAGGTGAGTCAATTGTGTTGGTCTCTTCCAGTTATATTTCCCTCCTTTCCCATCTAGGTTCACATGAGCCAAACCACTCACAGTTCAAGGCGAGCTGCAATAACACTGTGGGAGTAGCCCCCAGTTCACACGCCTGCCGAAAAACCTGCCCTCAGATGCCCGGAAAGGTGGCTGCCCATAGGCTGTCGTGGTTTCCATGGCAACCATGCGAGAAAGAGAGAGATGCTGCGAACGAGTAATAAGCTGCATTTCAATGAAATTCCTCTAGATCCTGCACAGCCCTCCCCCCCCCACACACAAGTAGACAAAACACTTGGGGAAAGGGGGGCTTTATTGCTTGTGGAACTACAGAAGACAAAATACAGACTTCAGGTATCGGAGCTGAAGCTGACCCTTGCAAAACTGAATCCTCCAACGATCAAATGAACAAGTCAAAGGGCTGACCAGAGCGCCTGTGCTTTTGTTTTGAAAGCAACCAGAGGCTCTGTGCAATAAGGAAAGCTGCTTTGAGAAGAATAACTGAGCCTAAGTCAGGAAGCAAGAAGCAGAAATGCTCGTTCCCAGTCTCTCTCTCTCTCTCTCTCTCTCTGCTTGGACATGAACAACCACTTACCAACCACTAATTTTTCCAAAATTTGCATTCAACCACTTGGAAATCTAGTGGGACACGAATCCTCCTTTTAACCACACGTCTGCAGCCAACATGTAGTGAAATTATCCTAATCATTTGGCAGACAATATAGTTGGCCCAGTACCTTATATGTCCAGAGCTATCAGAGCTGGAACCTGTAATGTCCAGTCCCGCCTTGTGCTACACCATGTTTGGGAGCAGGATCTGAGTCCTGTGGCCTGAATGTGGTGGCCGTCCATGCCTCTCTCTGGCCCTCAGGGCATACCCTCCCCAGCCACACCCTCTCTTCTCAGCCTTCATTGGGCCTGCATCACACCCTCCTTCTGTGTTGTTGCCTGCCTGGACTGTGTCCTTGAACCCCCATAATGCCTTTTGCTCTGCTCACCTCGGGTCCCCATTCCAGACTGAAAAGATCTCCTGGCAAGGATGTTCCCCTCCCCCATGCTAGAGAGTGACTTTGGGCTTTTCCCTCATGTGTTTGGGCTAAAAGCTTCCTTGACTATGCCTGCCTGCCTGCCCTCACTCGCTCTGTTGTCTGTCTACCTGCTGATTACCCTCACACCTTTCTGATTCCACTTATAGATCAGCCTTGCAACACTGATGACTGGAATCATTGATCAGAGAATACGTGCTCCGTCAACTGGTTTATGAAATGGTTGCATGCACACAGTGATTATTTACCAATTGCCAGGTGTATCCTCCCGCTATTATCGTACCAAGTGGTAATGAGAATTTTATTGCACCACGAGTGCAGACAAATGGGGGTTAAATGGTTGGCTGCACGTCCCTCTTTCTCCCCCACTTTTCTCTCTCTCCCCCCCCCCCAGCCCTCTCCCGAATGTTGTGAAATATTTCAATGGAATGGGAGTGGGATTCATCCCAAGTTATAAACAGCTCCTACAGAACTGAAAGCCAGCAAACTTTCCTCAAATCAGCAAGAGCTAATAATAAATTATCCCACTATTCTTCCTACATGTTGCATCCCCCCCCCTTTTCAACAGCTTTAATTGGTGTTCTAGTGACTCCTAATTACATGTGTTAAAATCAGGCTTTTCTTCTCATAGACTGAGATGTCATTTAATATTCACAGCTGAAGGGTTTCTATGTGGTACACCATGAGATTTAAGTGTTGTGCAGAGAGGAAACACAGGCATTTCCCTGAGGTAAGATTTCTGTACCATAACTGTCCCTCTAGATCTGGGGTTCCAAAACCGGTGGCCCGTGGCACATCCATGAAGAATGAGAGGAACAGCAACTGCTCCATTGTTGCGTATGGAGCTCATTTCCAGCTTCTACTCTGCCCCCCATAGCAAGAAAAGCAATCCACATTCCCCTTGTCTCACTTTGCCTCTTCTTTCTAAAGGCCCCTTCATACCTCAACTTAATGTGGATTATGGCCCATGTGGCATTTTCCCTCCAGCTACTGCTGGCTCACACTTTCTCCTGCCAAAATCCAGAGATTCCCTATATTATGTCTTCAGTGGTCTGTGTTTACCTGAGCTTGAGTCTGGACTAAGGATTCTGAGCCCTGGGGTTCTGATCCAATACATGATATCCAATCACAGGACATTTCAGGATTTGTGTCTCAGCCATTGGCCCTCAAACTATGATTCGCAGCTTGGAATTTTGGACAGCCAATCATGTTGGGAGTGGGAGTGGCCCAGGCCTTCAGAAATATATATAAGCAGTTGCTTTGCCCCTGTTGTCCAGTTCTGCTAGTTCAATAAAGGCTCTTGCTATTATCACTGTGTCTTGCCTTGTGGGAACCCACCTATACTTCGCCCTATGCTTTGAGAATCCAAGCAGGAGAGCTACATCCACTGCACAGGAAATCTCCAAGTTTAAGGGAGCAGAAAGTGTGGGGCAGCAGGAACTGAAGGAGAACGCCATGTGGACAAAGGAGAGTTAAAGAAGGCACAAGGGGTTCACAGTCCTGCTTGCTCTGCTTGAATCTGGCTTACTGGATGGCCACTTTGAAAACTGGATGCTGGACTCAATGGGCCATTGACATAATCCAGCAGCCTCTTCTTATGTTCTTACAAGAGGTTCACAATCCACATTAAATTGAAGTATGGTCCCTAAACCTACTTCAGTTTGGAGGTGTGGATTACTGGATGTGAAGAGGCTGTGAGAGTGGTAAACAATGTCTTTTTTCCAGTCCTCCTGCCACTGCAATTAATCCAGAATGCGGCAGCCAGACTGGTGACAGGGAGTGGCCGCCGGGACCACATAACACCTGTCCTGAGAGATCTGCATTTGCTCCCAGTACGTTTCCGAGCACAATTCAAAGTGTTGGTGTTGACCTTTAAAGCGCTAAATGGCCTCGGTCCTGTATACCTGAAGTAGCGTCTCCACCCCCATCGTTCAGCCCTGACACTGAGATCCAGCACCGAGGGCCTTCTGGCGGTTCCCTCATTGCGAGAAGTGAGGTTACAGGGAACCAGGCAGAGGGCCTTCTTGGTAGTGGCGCCCGCCCTGTGGAACGCCCTCCCTTCAGATGTCAAAGAGATAAACAACTACCTGACATTCAGAAGACATCTTAAGGCCTGTTCAGGGAAGTTTTTAATGTGTGACATTTTAGTGTATTTTTGGTGTCTGTGGAAACTGCCCAGAGTGGCTGGGGAGGCCCAGCCAGATGGGCAGGGTACAAATAATAAATGATGATGATGATGATGATGCAGGAAATCTGCCTCTCACAATTGATGTCCATTCGGGCGTCCCTTTCCCACCCTATCTGTCTTCCAGTGTCTATGCATGGAAGAACAAGGTCTCAGCAAACTGTGCTCTT